GATCATTTCACAAAGTATGCGGTGGCTGCACCTACCAGAGACTAGATGGCAGAGTCGGCCGCTGAAGCGGTCTACACTTTATACAGGTGTTCGGGTGTCCACAGAGAATACATTCGGACCAGGGGGCATGTTTTCAGGATACTCTAATAAATGAGTTGTACCAACTGTATGGGATCAAACGTTCCCCGCACCACCCCGTATCACCCCCAGGGAAACGGGGCATGCGAGCGGTTCAACCGCACCTTGCTCCAGATGCTGTGGACTCTGCAGGACCACCAAAAGGCTTGGTGGCCTGAATACCTACCTGAACTGATGTAGGCCTATAATAACAGGGTACACAGTACCACCGGATACTCCCCACATATGCTCATGTTTGGGAGAGCCGAACGGGAGATTGAAGATCTCCACATGCCCAATCTGATGGAGCCACCACCGAGAAATACTACCGCATGGGTGCAAGAGCACCGCCGCCGGCTGAGAGCGATCCACAAGGTTGTGGGGGAGCGCCTTAGCCAAGCTGTATACCCCAATCCATGACCAGTGCAGAAGGAGTGGTATGCCCCGGGTGATCAAGTGATAGTCAAAGCCAAGTGGCCACCTGGAAAGTTGGATGGGCGGTGGGAGGCGGTTCCATACACGGTGAAGAGGAGGGTAGACCCTGCCATCCCAGTCTATGAGGTAGAGCCAATAGGAACTGGGGGGCCCTCATGAAACTTGCACCGTAACATGTTGAGGCATTGTAATTTTGATGAACCAGTGTGCGTGGAGGGGATGGCTCCTCCTGCTCAGAGAACTGAGGAAATCTCCTTAGAGGAGGAGGAGGAATGGTGGGTTGTCCCTGCCCCGGTACCCACAGAGGCTCCAACCATAGCAAGTTTGCCACCAAGGGAAAGCGTTGAGCGGTCAGCAGCTCCTCTCCCATTAAATGTGCCTGACGTCCCCAGTGCTTCTGAGCCTGTCACTCTACAAAGGTCAACAAGGCCCAATGCTGGTGTGCCCCCACAGCGTTATGCCCAGAATGAGTTTTCTATGGGGAGGGTTGCCGCAGACAACAACCTCTAGTGGGGTGGCATGTGGGATGGGGAAACAGCTCTCATTGTTTGAACACTGTGTGGAGTAAATTAAATGTTCTGGACTGACATTCTGCGGTTTAGCCACAAGATCCCACTGTTTTCCTAACACAGCCTCAGACTGCTTCCATATTTCTATATTCATGAAGAGGTGGGGTTTTCACTCAGTTTAGAGAACAGGAAGAGGAGAGAGAGGAGCCATGTTTGGAGGATGGTGAATGAAGGAGCCGTGTGAGCAGAGAATCTGATGGCATCCAGGTGTGAGAGCATCCCTCAGTAACCAGAGCTGCAGCTAAGTGAAGCTGATCGTGTCCAAGACCCTGATCCTGTTCAGAGAAAGGAAGATTGCTGCCAGGAATGCTGATGAGAGCAGAGGAACAAAACATAAACTGCGATACCGCATGCTTGTTGGAGAGACATTTGTTCCGTTCAGAGTCACCAGCGGATGCAAAGCAGACCCAGGTCGGTAAGATCGTGCATGCACCTCATTTCAGTGTTGGCTCCTAGAGACTGAGACCAGGCCTATAGTTAGTTAGTTCGGGTCTCTGTTTGTGTCAGGCCACAAGCGTTATTACTGATCATTGGAAGGACTTCATAACTTAAAGCGACATTTCACATTGGAGAGCTGATAAAATCCCACAAACACAAGCCAGACTGGCGTTTTGCTCAGAAGGAATACTCAGGCACGTGCTACAGGACCAGTTATGGGAGGAAGAATACTGTAGATTTGTGTAAGATTGTAAGCTGTTGTGCTGCCCCGCAGGCTAGCCCATAACATACACCCATACACTGATTTTCTGCTCTTTTAGGGTAATAACGGGTAAGGTTTGGCAGCTTAGTTGTGCCCACCAGTAGGTAAATTACTACACTGTATCTTGGGGAGCCCACCCCGGTACATGGCTTACATAAAAAAAAAATGGCGTAGATTGCAGTATCGATACCATAGTTTGTAGACTATAACTTACACATAAAGCAATCAATATACACTTATTGGGATTTTTTACCAAAAACATGTAGCAGAATACATTTTGGACTAAATTTATAATTAACTTTGAGTTTACTATATATTCTTTTATAGCCGAAAGTAAAAAAATATAATTTTTCTTCAAAATGTTCGGTGTTTTTTGTTTATAGCGCGAAAAATAAAAAGCGCACAGGTGATCAAATACCACCAAAAGAAAGCTCTATTTATGTGGGAAAAAAGGACATAAATTTAATTTGGGTACAGCATTGCATGACCACAAAATTATCAGTTCAATTAGTGCAGCGCCGAGTAGCAAAAAGAGGCCTGGTCATTAAGGAGGGTAAATCCTTTAGAGGGCGAGTGGTTAAAGTGACATTTTCTTAACCACATGCCTACAGGGCACTTATACCCGCTTCCTGCCCAGGCCAATTTCCAGCTTTCAGCGCTGTCGCACTTTGAATGACAATTGCGCGGTCATGCAACACTGTACCCAAATTAAATTTTTATCATTTTTTGGTGACAGAGCTTTATTTTGGTGGTATTTAATCAACTCTGGGGTTTTTTTTCTTAAACAAACCAAAAACCACTGAAAATTTAGAGAAAAAAGTTTTTGTTATAAAATTTTGTAAATAAGTGATTTTTCTCCTTCACTGATGTGTGCTAATGAGGCTTCAGTGATGGGCACTGATAGGCTGCACTGATGGACACTGATAGGTGGCACTGGTAGGTGGCAGTGATGGGCATTGACAGGCATCACTGATACATGGCACTGATATATGGCACTGTTAGGCGGCACTGACTGGCACTGATGGGTGACACTGAAAGGCAGTTCAGATGGGCACTGATATGGGGCATTGATGTGCACTGGTAGGCACTGATATGTGGCATTGGTGGGCACTGGCACGAGGCACTGATGGACACTGACAGGTGGCTCTGCTGGGGCTACACTGATCATCAGGGCACACTGATCATCAGTTCTCTGATGATCAGTGTACATGTCCCCTCCGTGGAAAGCCGATTACCGGCTCTCATCTCCTCTGTCAATGTGGCAGCTCGAGAGGAGAGAAATGCCGATAACCGTCCACTGATGTACCAGTTCTTATGAGCATACAGTGGATATAGAAAAGAATCAACCCCCTTTAAAATTATCACATTTTGTTACTTTGCAGCCTGAAATTAAGACCGACAGTTTTTGTTTTATCCAGCCGTATTTACAGCTTATAACATCCAAGTGAAAGCTATAACAACAACATGTCAGAATCAAAAACCAGAGTCACTGAGTAGGAAAAAGGATCACCCCATTGTGTCAGTATTTTGTTGAACCACCTTTTGCTTTAAAATTACATTTAGCCTTTATTCTGTTGGGATATGTCTCTACTAACTTTGCACATCTAGACTTTGCAATATTTGCCCACTCTTCTTTGCAGAACTGCTCAAGTTCAGTTAAATTTGATGGCAGGGGCGGACTGACAACTCATGGGGCCCCTGGGCAATAGGGGATCATGGGGCCCCTGTGTCCTTGCCCAAACTAAAAAAAGCCTATGAAAAAAGGTACCAGGGGCATCTCATGGGGCCCCCTACTGACCCCGGGCCCTCGGGCAATGCCAGAGTTTCCAAATGGTCAGTCCACCCCTGTTTGATGGTGACCAAGTTTTGACTGCAGTCTTCAAGTCATTCCACAGATTTTCAATGGGGTTTAAGTCTAGGCTCTGACTAGGCCATGGAAAGATATTCACCTTTTTCTCCTTCAACTAATGTGTGGCCATTTTTGCTGTGTACTTTCTTCCCATTGACAACTTTCTGGCAGAGGGCAGCAGATTTTTCTAAATAAGTTGACGGTATTTTGCCCCATCCATTTTTCCTTTTATCCTTACAAATGCTCTAGTCCCTGCAGCAGAGAAACACCCCCATTACAGGATATTATGACCTCCATGCTTTATTGTAGGAATGGTGTTATTTGGATGGTAAGCTGTAATAGATTTCTGCCAGATACATTGTTTAGTGTTGAGGTCATATAATTCAATTTTAGACTCATCAGACCATAACACCTTTTTCCATGTGGCCTCAGAATCTTCAAGGTGCGTTTTGGCAAAACTGTCATGACTGCATGTGGCCTCTCTTGCAACCCTCTCATACAAGCCACATTTGTGGAGAATTTGTGATATTGTTGTCATATAAACACAATGACCAGTCTGTCAAATTCCTTCAATTGATTCAGAGTTTCTGTAGGCCTCTTGGTAGCCTCTCTGACCAGTTTCCTCCGGGCTCTTTCATCCAGTTTAGAGCTATGTCCTGATCCAGGGAGGGTCTCTGTGTTGTAAAACACCAAGTACCTTCCACTTCTTAATAATAGATTTCACTGTGCTTTTAGGCATTGATAAAGCCTTTGAAATTTTTTTTGTATCCATCTCCTGGCTTGTGACTGTCCACAACTTAATCTTGGAGATCTTTTGACAGTGCCTTGCCACCCACAGTTGCTTGTTTGCTTCATTTGCACTACCGGGATTGAAATGCTCCAGGAAAGCTCCTTGCATGCCGAGCAAATTGACCACAGCTGATCACAGGTGAAAGCCAAATGGCTTTGTGTGAAGGTGATTAGCTATGCCTAATTGAGTTTCCAACTCAGTGATTCTGTTTTTGAATTTTTTTCTGACATGTTGGTGTTCTATCTTTCACTTGGATCTTATAAATACAGCTGGATAAAAAAAAAAAAAAAAAAAAGTGTCTTCATTTCAGGATGCAAAGCAACAAAATGATTTTAAAGGGGGTAAATCTTTTCTATATCCATTGTATAAGTGATATGGGCTGAATGGAAAGAGAGACTACCAGAGACTAATAGAAATCTCTGCCAGAAAAAGTGTGTGTTATGCCCACCTTTAGGATCTACCGCCCTGCACCCACCCAGTTCTAAAGTTGGGCATACATGTAGTTTGCTTTCATGGGCTGAACGAAAAAAGAAATCTAACAGATTCCTCCATTCACATCAATGTGGATGACAAAGAGATCGTTGCCAGAAAAAATTGAAAAAAATATATGCAGAAGTGTAGGAGCGATATTCTCACTGACCACAACAGGCCCCTCATGCTTGGTCATATGTGTGTGTGTGTTTTTATTTGGGGCTTGTTTTTTGCTTTTTAACTGCAGATGAGAAATCTCCTCCAGCAGAGTTGCAAGCGCTGATGTACACTATATTGCCGAAAGTATTGGAACACCCCTCCAAATCATCAGATTCAGGTGTTCCAATCACCTCAATGGCCACAGGTGTATAAAATTGGATTGGAACACCTGAATCTGATGATTTGGAGGGGTGTTCCAATACTTTCGGCAATATAGTGTACATCAGCGCTTGCAACTCTGCTGGAGGAGATTTCTCATCTGCAGTTAAAAAGCAAAAAACAAACCCCAAATGGCCACAGGTGTATAAAATCAAACACCTAGGAATGCAGACTGCTTCTACAAACATTTGTGAATTATTATTATACAGGATTTATATAGCTGCGACAGTTTGTTCAGCGCTTTACAACATAAAGAGAGACAATACAGAGATTTGTGAAAGAATGGGTCACTCTCAGGAGCTCAGTGAATTCAATTCCCAATGTAAATGAAATAACCAATATATAACTAACACCCTATAGCATATAAGTCTATCTTTCACCCTTGAAAGTGTAATAATTATATCATACCTCAATATGCTCAAAACCCTATTAACAAATCAAAGATTGTGAAGAAAATCTCCAAAAAAAATATAAGTTATATAGTCTCCCAAAAAAATATATAAACAAAATCCAAAAATTATGCACTCGTGTTCAAAAATTAAAGTCATACACTAAATAAATTCCAATGATGAAAATTCAAATCCTCAATGGGGAGCCTTCCAAATGGCGCCAAACGTCAATGTGAACCTCAAAAAAAGGAAAAACTATATAGTGTATTGCCCTTATATAAAAAAGATCAAAAATAAACAGTAATAATCAAAATAACCATATGTGCCACTACACATCAATCGTGACCATATAGGTGAAAAAAGTGAGCTCTGTGTGATAACCGTGCTGGTGAATCACACATTGTGAATAAAATTATCCAGGTGCCAATAACAGTGTACACTTCTACAGTGTAAAGAATAAATACCCTTACCAAAGGCCATATAACCACGCTTTAATACCACAAAGGGTATAATTAATCCAAGGAAAGCTTTCCCAGACTGGGTATTAATCTTTTAGGATGTCATCATAGCCTCATGGATAAATCTCCTAGATTTCATCAAGACTTTAAGCAGGAGTACTCCATAGTACCCATGCTCCATCGATATTCATGATATATGGAAAGGATATATAGTGTGATTCTGTATAACAATAATCAAATAACACTTTTTTAATTGCTCTTACATTAAAACAAACTTAAAACCGCCATATTCCCTTGACCCAAACCTCTGTAGTGTCCGAGCAGCTTCCAGAAACGTTTGGTAGGAATTTCTACTTTCCAAAATGGCCGATCCGTCACTTCCGGTTCCTCCGTGTGCATCTGACGTCACTTCCCTTGACGCGTTTTGTCACTTCCAGGGGTGTGTTCCAGTCATAAGGGGTGTGTTTCGTCAGACTGATCAGTCACCTTTATACCCCTCCTCTTCATGGGGCCGAGACCACGGCCGCCATATTGCAGCAGGGAAAAGTGCCAACACTGTTATGTATTCGTAATTCTTCTAAATAATGGCTACTATATTGCGTCTTCCTCATGCTATGCATACACATAGCAAGGCGCCCTCCTATACAACACCTCTCCTTTCTACGGCACCGAGACCACGGCCGCCATATTAGAGCAGGGAATAGTGCCAACCATGTTAACAATATTAAGTATTTAGTAACACACAAAAAAAAACTACCCTGATCACTATATAAATTAACACAAATACCCTATGGCTTATTATTTATTACTTAAAACATATTAAATTACAATAGCAATATTATTAATCCCCCTACTACTAAACTAAAATATAATCCTAGTCAATATATTAGATACTTCATAATATTATATAAATCTTATCTATTCTGATCTTATTCACTCAAGATAATTAATAGAAAATAAAATCATTTTAGGATTATAACCACTAAAAATTATTATATAAAAGTCCCTTAAAATAAGATAAAATAAATTAAAAATTCTATCATATTATAAAATATAACCATAAAATTGAACCAAAATTCCATTAATAAAATTTCTATTGAAGTAATATTTAATATTTATATTCAGAAACAATTGAGTACTGTCCGTGATACTTTTTTTATTTGCACTAACATACAATTTTGAGGACAAGCTTTCGGGGTATGTCCCCTTCTTCAAAGTCCAAACAGTACTATTACAAATCACAAAGTTTAAGCAGAATGTTAGAAGGGATTGAGAAGAAAAAAAAACTGCAGCCCACAAGGCAGGTGAGTCCCACCACCATTGGCGAGTCCATTCCTGACAGTACCCCCCCTCAAGGAGCGGCCTCAGGACGCTCCAAACAGTCCTTAGTGGGCAAAATGTTCCACCGCCCGGGTCAGGTAACTGGCTGGATATCAGGGGCTGGCACATTAGGCTGGGCAGCGGACAGAGGCACATCAGGCTGGGCAGCGGACAGAGGCACATCAGGCTGGGCAGCGGACAGAGGCACATCAGGCTGGGCAGCGGACAGAGGCACATCAGGCGGAACAGCGGGTGCCGAGTCATCCGGCACGACAGCGGGCGCCGAGTCATCCGGCACGACAGCGGGCGCCGAGTCATATGGCACAACAGCGGGCACAGAGTCACCTGGCACAACAACGGGCACCGAGTCTTCTGTCAGGACAGCGGGGGCACCGAGTCATCTGGCACGACAGCGGGCACAGAGTCACCTGGCACGAAAGCGGGCACAGAGTCACCTGGCACAACAGCGGGCACCGAGTCACCTGGCACGACAGCGGGCACAGAGTCATCTGGCACGACAGCGGGCACAGAGTCATCTGGCATGACAGCGGGCACAGAGTCACCTGGCACAACAGTGGGCACCGAGTCATCTGGCCGGATCGGGCCATCAGGCCGGGTAGCGGGCACCAGATCATCAAGCTGGACAGGGTCATCAGGCTGGATCGGGTCATCAG